CTGCTGAAGGCAGTAATGAAACTTGCATCCTGCAGCACTAACCTAACTGATGACACTCTCTGGTTTTGGAATTATTTGGTCAGTGATCAAACATTCATCTGCTATTGGTCTTCTCTCGTTTCTGTGGGATGAGAGCGGGGGGCACAGATATTAATGTGTTGACTTTCTCCTATTATTCTGAAGCAGATTGTTTCAATCGAATATTTGTTCCATACAGGAAACACTCAGGAGGGGAAAAGACAATGCTCCAGAAGTGGCAGGTAAGCTAAATCTTGGCTGGACATGGTTAAGAGAAGAATATCTGCACCTGTCTGTGTGTCCGCGCACAGATATTTGTGCATATACGTCTGTACTTTAGGGCTTAAGCTGTTCTCTCACTGCTGGAGGTGAGGTTATTGGCAAGAGGAGCAGAGTATTTATGTCTGGCTATTGCAGAGGTTTTGCTTCTGCTGTGAAACATATGGTGCTACTGTCTGGCAGATTAAGTGTGATTTTATGCACATTTTTAAACTGAATCCAAAGACAGTCACCTAGTTGAATGACACAGATCATGTGTGCATGTAAATGAGTGCATGTCTTGTTTTCTCAGATGCATTTCTGAGCTGAGACATGCATTTACTTTCCTGTACCCCGATCTTGGTGACCCAAGACATACTGAAGAAATCTATATCTTCTTGTTTATATGTAGCACTTTCTGGAGTGTTTTCTGTACAGGCAGTTGCCCAGGATTTTCCAGATTGCATGCATTTGGCTCACTTTTAAATTGGGATAAAATGCTCTGTTATGCAAATACAACATAAAAACAACAGGTGATTATAGACAAATGCAAATGGCCTGTCTGAAGAAGAGCCAGAATGAACTCAGATTCTGTTGAATGGATCATTCTAGAAGAGACATTGTGCTGATCTGAATGGCAATGGATGATTGATTGCGGTTTTTATAAATCTTGTCTTGGTGGACCCGGGAACCACAGAACTCTGAAGGTGTCTATAAGGCATGGTTTCCATGGGTGGAGTTAGGAGATTTTAATGTTTGTTTCCTTTCCCTGGCAGAAGAGGGAGATCAGCAACTTTGATTACCTCATGTATCTGAACACATTGGCTGGCCGCAGCTACAATGACTACATGCAGTATCCTGTGTTTCCATGGGTCCTTGCTGATTATCACTCCGAGGTCAGTGCTTGCTGCAGCGTTCTGTACTTTCTACGATAGCAACCATACAAAGGTTTGTTAAGTGATGCCATTAAAGCCGAGGGGTCTAGACCAAGGGTTCAAAATTTGAGATAGTTAATTTGAACTGTATTGATTCTTTATAGGCTAGCTTTATCTTGAAATCGGCATGCTGAGGATCATGTTCTGCCTCAGAAAGGTGGATGAACATCTGTTAAATACATACCTAGATAAGGGCTAACCTGCCAGAACCTTTATTTGTGAAGCTCCTTGTACATGCTAGCCTTTCAGTGGCACATGCTGCCACTCTTTTTCCAAGTGCCATCCTAGTTTTGGAGACTGGTGTTTTAGTACTGAGTCTGTGGCCTTTTTATATAGGTGAAACTTCCAACACAGCCTTGCACCTATCTAGTGTCACTGAGCTAGTCATGATGTCTAAGATTCAAGAATCTAAAAATCCACAACTTTGCTGGTTTTGCTTTTCAGACTCTAAACCTTGCTAATCCTCATACATTTCGAGACCTGTCAAAGCCCATGGGAGCACAGACTGTGGACAGGAAACACAAGTTCATCCAGCGCTACAATGAGGTGGAGAAGACTGAGGGTGAGTGTTTTGGGAGACTAACAAACAGCAGAGGCTTGAGTCCCCTCAGGCCTTTGGGGATGCTGGTGAATCCCACCCAAAACCTTCCCAGAGCTGTGGTGAAGGGAAGGACCGTGTCAAGGAGGTCCACTTGCATCTGGATACAAACTGGTTGGGGATTCAAAGAGAAATTACTCCTGCAAGCACTGCCTTACATGCCTTGTACTGCTGCATTCTGCCCTCTTCCCTTGGGCAGGAAGAGATGCTACAACAAAAAGCAATATTCTCTAGAAAAGACTGCTCTGGTAACCAAGCTGCATGCATTAGTCTTGTCTGTTAGCTAAGCTGCCTGTAGAAGACTGCAGCACACAGCTTAGCTAACAGTTATTGTAAGAAAAGGAAACACGACGTTGAGGCTGTTCACTTGGCTGATCAAGAACTTTGTTGGTACTAATGGGAAAGAGGATAGCCTAGAAAGTTAAAGGCCTTATTCTTCAGAAAATGAAATGTGAAAGGTAAAAAAAGAACATGCAGAGATTGTAGTAACTGTGCACATTCAATGGAAATATGCAAGGTGTGCTTTTGCTCACAGATCCTTGAACACATCTGCTTTATCGACCCTCTCCCTATTTAGTTGTGCTGTGGTAACTGAATACTATGGGCTTGAAACGGTGATATTTTGCACTGAAATCTGATCTGTGTCCAATTTCCAGGAGACCTGTCAGCCCAGTGCCATTACTGTACTCACTATTCATCAGCAATTATAGTCGCATCTTACCTGGTCCGAATGGAGCCGTTTACCCAGACCTTCTGTTCTCTACAGGTAAGGGGGCAAGATAGCTTCCCTCCTACACCTTGTTATGAACCATGTAGCAAATTATAGTGGCTGTGTAATGAAGGCAGATTAATTCTTTTGACATTTTCTATATACTCTGTGTGGACTCTGGGCTCACTGAAGGCGTTATGCTGCGTCTGTTGAACTCAGCGAAAACATCTTAATGGGAGCATGATTGATGCCTGATAATCTTGTTTTTTTCTGAGGGAGAAGGATTATTTCATTTTGGTCCTGTGATGCATTTTGTGCAAGCTAAGGTATGTAAACACCTAGACAGCGTTTTATGACCTGTCTGAACATAAGTTTCTGACTTTGGGGCATATGAGACTTTCATTCTCAGCCCAAATGCCTATACAGTAATGTGGTTACAGGCAAGCACCTGGAGCTGGCTGTGGTGGCATAAAGAGCATTCCTGGGCCAGATGAAGATGCACAGGTGCTGGTGGGTGAGGAATGATAGAGATCATGGCATCAGCTCCCTGAAGGAGAATTGGGGTGAGACTACAACCAGTGCTCCAGAAGGAATATTTTGGTTTAGCTTGTTCTGAACTTGCCACTGTTTTATGGTGCCAAAAGCACTCCATATGGAACTGAATTTCATGCAAACTGAACTTTGTGCTTAGCTTTACCAGCTGGTCAGCACACAGGGAACCAAATTTCCTGACTGGCCTCTTCAGCAGGCAGTTGGTGACACACAAGCACAGACAATTGGGCTGTAGCAGATGTTACCCTTATTTCTGTAAAATGTGTTGTGTTATCGCAGATTCTACTAGTAGGACAGGTCCTCAAAAGCGTTTTTTTAAGGAGTCTCTTGCTGAAATCTGCCTATCCTTGTGGAGTGATGTGAGGGAGACAGCTAGGCCAGAATATTCCACATTCAGACGCTGCTGTACGTATGGCCAGGAATGGCCTTGCCTCCTGAAGCTCTCCAAGTGCTTTGCTGTTGTGCTTGTCTTTTTTCTTTTTTTTTTTTAAATGAACTAATACAAATAAAGCACTGTGCTAATTAAGTAATAAGCCCTATGATGTCGGCTGTTACCAGCAGTAGCTGATGGGTTAGTGAACCACCTGAGGCAATGGCTACCATCGCACTCTGTGAGCCATATGTTAGCTGCAGTCATGAACAACTGTGGAGCAGTTATTTCTTGTTGTAAACAACAAAGGCTACTGTATCTCACTGGCACAGTTTCCATGCATAACAAGTTCCCAGTCTGAGTAGCTGCTTTGCAGCAGTGTTTATGTGTGATTAGCAGGTAACAAGCGTTTTTGTGGGGATAGTTCTCTTCAAAGGCTGATGAGATTTCAGGGACTCAAAGTTTTGTCTGGATATGGATCCACTGCAACTGTTGAACTTCTTCCATTCTCATTCATTTGCTTTTATGTTACTGCATGTTCAGCTGAGCTCATCGCTGTCATTTCCCCCAGGTGACTGGTCCTATAGTGGCTTAGGAATTGCTGACTGTGAGATGCAGTCAGGCAAACAGCAGACCTGAGAACTGTATGCCTAAGTCAAGAGTTGGTTGGAAAAGGAGTGCTCCCAAACTTAACACCTTGGAAGGGTGCCAAGTTGGGAGCTGTGAAAGCTTCTCAGCATCTTAAAAAGTGGAAAGGCTACGCTTATAACTGCAAACTGCCAGTCTGAATGCACATGGCAAGGAAATGCAACAACTTGGGTGCACCCGTTGTGAGAAACTGATGTTGACGTACTATTCTTTTTCTCAAGTCAAAGAATTGATTCGCATCTGACCACAGAAGAAGACACTGAGGAAGCATTGCCTCTAGTAAGGCAACTGTAGACAACTTTACAAAAGCTTATTATTTCAAATTTTATTTAAGTGTATTGAGATCTGACTCTGGAGAAAAGTGTGTATGTGCTTTGCATGTTATATTGGAATGGATGAAAGACTGCCTCATCAGACAGGTGTTATACCTTTCATTTCAGATTAGTCAGTCACTAAGGTAAAGTTCCATTTTACCTTAGTGGTCAGACATTGGAGTAGGCTGCCCAGGGAGGTGGCTGAGTCCCCATCCCTGGAGGTGTTTAAAAAACGTGTAAATGTGGCACTTTGGGTTATGGTTTAGTAGGCACGGTGGTGTGGGCTGGATGGTTGGACTCGATGATCTTAGAGGTCTTTTCCGACCTACAATTCTATGATTCTATGATTAGTCAAGTACCTCCCAGAATTCCTTTCAGGTGTTGGTCTTCGCACCACAAAAAAGCCACAAAGTTTTCTATGTTTAGTGTATTCGTTTGAAAGGCATTCTAGGACCACATGCCTTCAACAATTAGTGACATTTGCTTTTGATCCACCTCAGATTTTATACGCTTTTATTCTTATCCCTGTGTAGTATTTCAGCAAGCAGGCCGATCTTCTTTCCTGGCATTTACCTCTCAAAGAGAATAGGGTTCTTACTCTTGACAGTGTCACTGACTCTTGAGCAGTCATTCAAGTACTGACTGCAGGTAACTACTTCTCAGCAACTCTGGGAGTATCGTAAGTGTTTGCACCTTCATAAGCACCTGTTAGAAACACTTTGAGGTCTTTGGGTTTAAAGCACCACCAAAGATCTTAGGATGCTTAGTTTTACAAGCGTGGGAAGTTCTAACTTCTCTCTAGAGATCATTTTGAC